TACTAAACAATATATATATTAGCTGTATAATACCAGTAGGCCAGCTCTAATAGTAATTTGGTATGGCTTCGCGGGCCAAATGTAATTAGGCTGCGGGCCAAATGTAATTAGGCTGCGGGCCAAATTTGGCCCGCGGGCCAGAGTTTGACACCTATGGTCTAGAATGCAAGAAACTATTTTGATGAAGAAAATTTTTGTTGAGAGCAAAACTGAACTGTATTATATTTACAATTTATAATGTATCAATAGCATCGACTCAGTAATTGGTTATGTCGCTCTGGGTATCTATGTCAAGCTCCCAGATGAAAGAAAGGATTTTTAATACTAACACCCCTGAATGATGCTCATTTGACTCATCTGTCCCTTTGTTTTAAGTTCAGGTAGGAGGATACCTGATACAGCTTGATTAAAAAAGCTACATAACCTGCTTTAAAAAAGTACCTGCTGTCCTCTCGTGTGTGACGGTCCATTGCATTCACCAACTCATTGTGGAGAGTCACCAGATAGCTGACCAGCCCTGTGGCACACAGGCCTGGACCCTGCCGACGGGGCAGGAGGTACTGCAAGTCACTGTCCAGGTCCAAATCCCTGCTGCAAAATTCTTCTGGAATTTTTATTTCATCTATAGTTTTGAAAGGACAGATAAATAATTCCTTATTTCAAATATAACAAAAATCTACATATGTGTTTATTAACTGTTCCATTTAACCACAAGAACAAAAAATAATAATAATATGTTTTCAGTAACTGGTCAGTGGTAGATCTTTTTCTATTATTTTGACCTCTATTGTATACAAAGTCATTTAGAATTAGAATTATGTTTGCTCTCGAAGGCAACTAAAATCAATCAAGAATTCCACTGTTCCCATTTTAAACCCAGTATGGCAAAGTCAAATCAAGCTATTTTTTTTGTATAGTTGATAAAAATGTCCTAAAAAAAAATACAAAATAAAAGGAACAATAAAAGATTTAACTGCACCAACAAATTATTTTGTTGTTCAGACAAAGGGTAGAATAAGTGCTTTACTTACTGCTGGTAACAGAAACTCTTAGCTGATTCCATGTTTTCAGGAAGGTCTCAATGCGTTTTTGATACCACTGCCTCATTTCTGAAACAACAAAAACATTTGTATGACATAACATGAAACAGAATAAAAATATTTCAGTTGCTTTGTCTGTGTAGCAAAAGCCAACTTTAAAGGATTTTGACTGTGATTTTCACATTTATTCAGAAATAGTACTGTAGATTAATCATGTCATTGTTCACATTTGGAGAGAGTTTAGGTCCATATAATCTGTACCTGTTTGCTGAGCAATGAATACTCCGATGGAGCCCACGATATCTTCAGTTGCATTTTGGTACTTTCTCACCAAACGTTTCTGCAGGTTTAGGATTTCTGGGAGGAATTTGATAAGCCGAAATTCTCTCTCCTGAAAAAGAAAAACATAAACCAATCGGCTGATAACAATGCTTCAACAGCACAGGCTGTGTATCTTTGGTTATTTTCAATTCTACCAGTGAGAATAATAACAAGCTTATTGAAACTTTTAAAAATTGCTTTTACATTTGAAATATAAACATAATTAGTTATAGCATGGTGGTGCACTGATAAAAATGAAGGTTGTGGGAAAAGATAGACTATTCAATTCTATTCAATTTCTATTCTAGAAATGTGTGACAAAGAGCATTGTACTCATCCATCTCATAATATATGAGGGCAAATTTGACAATTGGTCTAAAGGTTTTTAAAAAAGAAAACTTTGCAATTATCCATAGTGCACAGTGTTACCTCAAAGACAAAAAACAAAACAAACAAATAAAAAAAACCTCAGTCTGGTCAGTAATTCACGCATGCAATCGAGTAAATTTTTGACTGGATGGGTGAATTTTGATCAATCAAAGCTTTACATCTGTGAGACACACACCTTCTGCAGGAACCTCCAGAGCAGGGGGAGCTCCTCCTTTTGATCATTAGTCTCCATAATGTGTGTGAGGCTGAGCAACGACAGCCTCTCCCTGCAGCTCCACACTGCTGAGCTGTCAACCTCAGAGCCCTGTTGCAGTGAGGTGAGGAAGCTAAAGTCATCACCGTGGATCGTCCTTATGATGAAGTTGGAAGATACACGTGAGTCATTTCTGATGGTTCCCTTTGCCTCTTGTAGGAGTTGGTCAAGATCCTGGACACAAAATATTGGTAAAGGTGATATAAGAGGGTTTATATAGATAAGACTGAAAAGGGGTTCATGACAAAAAGGGTAAATACTGAGCTAACAAATTACCGTCAGCTTTGGTGTCATAATATCTGTAGCCACAGTAGTCTCCCAGGTGTTTCTGGATTCTTTGGTAGTAAGGTAAGGGTCGATAGTAGCTAGAAGAAAAGTCAAAAATGAATGGCAGACTCTTTCTAAGCTTAAATGGGATCACAATTTTAATCAAGTTCTTATGAAGTACTGACTTCCATTATTTCTTACTGTCATTCTATATGTGACCATATTTGATGTCACAGTCGGACGGTCCTTCCGGACGACTCTGCTTGTGTGTATGTTTTCTCTGTGTGTGTTTGCTTCTCCCTCTCTCCCTCCCCGGTCCTCGGGCTGTTTACGGAAGTGCGCGCCGTGGGAGAGGCGTGTCCTGGCGACTGTCGTCATTGGGAGTCCCTCTTCGCTGTTGCCGGCCACCTGCAGCTGATTACCTGACCAGCCGTTGGTAATCATTCCTCCCGGCTAGAAAGAGGTATTTAACCTGGACTTGCGGCGACAGTCGACGTGGGATTATTACTCTGAACTGGTATAGTCCGTGCGAGCAACGTGAGTTTGTTATTCGGCGAGCGTGTGGCTAACAGTGGATTTTCCTTCTTCCTCCAGGAGGGGCGAGCGAAGAAGCGAGTTGGGGAGCACACACACTAAGGGAGTTACAACACGGAACGCACTGGGAGCAAGGGACGAGCACGATTGGTAAATTGCACTTTTGAGTGAATTGTTGGACTTGCCTGTCTGTTTCACTGTAAATAAATGCACTGTGTTTCTGTGAAAAAGAACCGCGCCTGGGTCCCTCTTTTCCGTGACATTTGACACATGTTCATGTGACTAAAGATTGGATACTTACTGGAACTGGCCCGTGGTAGCTCCTGCAGTGATTTAAGCACCAAGTGAACAGATGTTACGTTGTCGTCAGCTCCTTTTCCCAGTGCCTGGGACAGATGCTCAAGATCCTTTGTTATGTGCAACCTGAGAAACGAACTGACATCCTCCACAGGTGGCTGGATTATCTGTTGGACAACCTGAACAAAGAGTGAGTGACAGCATCATTGTTAGATGTAATAAAACAAACAACATCATTCATTGAGTTTTGTGGTTTATTCATGAACTCGATGGAATGATTTGACAGCTTGGCTACACATAAACTAAAAATATGCTTGGACTTATATGCTTGGAGCTGCTTAGATATTGCCACTACTGTACAAAGTAACTCCCACTTCAGATACTTCATTTAAAAATTATTAGGATCCACAAAAATAGAGTAATTATAATCTGCTCACCTCAGGTTTCTCTGAGGCTCCCAGCATCATGGCCAAATGTGTAACCAACCTGACCAGAGTGAAGGGAGTCAGAGACATGTGTTTGGTGTCTAAAGCATCTGGGTTGTTTCTCCGTTCAGGGTCTCCCAGAATGTGACCGGGACGTGTTTGATCCCTAAAACAACAGATTTGTATCAGTAAGAAGAAGAGCTGGTATACTCCCAGTGCCACAGCTTTAATGGTAGAAAACACATTCACACATGCACATTTTTCTTTCTCTAAGCCCTTTCCAAGTCTAAGTCCAAATATCTGTTACTTTTCCAAGTGGAAGGTTTGATATCACTGGATAAATATACTGAAAATTTCTGCAGTAGATTTTTGTTTTATAAATCAGCTGAAGCTACTTTACAGAGCAATTCAATTATATCAAAGTCTTTGTTATCATCTAAAGACAAATGAGCAGTGCCTGAATTATCTTGTGCTTCCAATTTTTTCTTCTGATCATTTTCTTTGAGGATTTAATAAAGAGACACAGTGTCAGTCTGTGCCTAAAAGTTGTGTTTTTGTGGCTGGTCTCATGTATTTGTGTATTTGGAGTTTCACGGTGTTTAAATAAGTCATGCAAATGTGAATTACAGTCTGTGACACACAATTTATGGCTAGCTAGCTAGCTAGCTAGATATCTATCTATCTATCTATGAATATAAATTAACTAGGAACCAAGCTTTTAAGACCTGAGTTTCACTGTAACGTTAAAGAAAGGTGTTTAGTACATTAAATTTCTTGAAATTTAATGACACTCACTCATGCAACTGAACTTTTGTGAATCCAGGCACGACTGTGCAATGTTCTCCTCCAACTTCTTCACCACACTCCAGACATCGGCCTCTCTCTATGGGCATGCCGCACTACAGCAAAAGATGGCATAAATAGTACAATTATTAACAACATTATATTTGTAATCACTGTCATTAATATATTAACTGGAACGGAATAAAAATGGCTTACCATATCAACGCAGCATGGATGATTATTTGGACAGACTATGGGAAAAAAATCACTTGAATTATTAAAACATAATATGCAGCACTCTGTGAAGTTATAGGCAAGTTTATGCAAAGTGCTCCTAGAACCAAGTCTTTTATATTACATCCTTCTTGCCATCTTGGTTACACATCTGTACACTCTTATTTTGAACCATTACCATTATTAACTTAAGTTAATGGTCACCTGGACATAAAATCTGCATGCATAAAACCATGAGCTAAATCCAATAAATAAGTCTGGTGACTTTGCCCCAAAATAAAATTAAAAAAGCTTTACATCCCCTATAAATGTCTTTATATTTGCTGTTGCAGAATTCTTCAAAGGATTTCAATTTAGGGCTGTTTGTGTGAAAACCTAAATTACAACAAAGGATCATTTATAATGTTTTAGTTGCATATATAAAAGGAGTAATACTTACCATACCAAGTGAGCTGGCCCTCATAATTCATGGCTGCCTGGGCAACAGCTAAAATGTCATCAGGCATTGTGGGTATAAAAGCTCTCTGTAGGTTAAATGAAATGACAATCTAAGAAACTGCACAACGGTAACATAAATGTAATGTTGTTAAGTTAACAAGTCCACTGAGCAGTGGGTGACATCTTTATGACTAGATCCACTTTTTACACATGATGTCATGATGTTTACCTGCATATTTTCAGAAGACAGACCAAGATGCTTCAGTGGCATCAGCAGGTGATGATTCCCAGTGAGCAGCACAGCTGCCAGATGAATGATCAGCTCAGTGATGGTGTTCTCCATGATAGCACTACCAGGCTGAACAGTGAGCGCTCCCAACCTGTTGTAAACCAAGGCTGAGGCAAATCGTCTTACTTCTGCTTGATGGAGATACGTTGAGCCCTCGATGAGGTCATCAAATTCAAGACATTGCTTAAGGGAATATAGAAAACATGTAAGAAAAGCAATACAATTTCACCCTCAAAAACAGGAAGAATAATTGACGGAATAATTGCACTAATTTGTTAAACAGAGTGTCATATTTGATTTTATATTAGCAGATATACTAGAAAGTAGAAATGAGTGTCTGGTCATATGATGTGATGAACGTGAATTTTCAATTTTTGGTTTATGTACAGGGAGGTCAGGAGGAGGCTCTGCTACAGTTTAGGTTGGCATTTCGGCCAGTGCTATTGTTCTCGTCAAATTTTAGGTCCTTCATGCAATACCATCTGACAATAACTTCACCTTTCAGTATGGCAGTGATCTCAAACACACTGGAAGACTAATTAAAGACATTACAAGAAAGCTTGCTTAAGAAAGTTCCCGTGTATCTTCCAACTTCATCATAAGGACGATCCACGGTGATGACTTTAGCTTAATAAAAACACATTCTGCATTGATGATGCTCTTTTTCTGCTTTCCTGAGGATCATCTTCTTCAGTGTGTCATCCTCTTTTATTTTTTTATAATAACTTTTATAAGCAACTAACATTTGGAGTTTGAGAGTCAGGGCGACCGTGGCTCAGGGGGTTGGGAAGCGCATCTGAATGTCGCCGGCTCGATTCCCGGGCTCTCTGTCCTGGTCGTTGTGTCCTTGGGCAGGACACTTCACCTACCGCCTGCTGGTGTTGGCCAAAGGGGCCGATGGCGCGATATGGCCATCTGTCAGTCTGCCCCAGGGCAGCTGTGGCTTGCCTCCACCAGTGTGTGAATGTGAGAGTGAATGAATAGTGGCATTGTAAAGCGCTTTGGGTGCCTTGAAAAGCGCTATATAAATCCAATCCATTATTATTATTAATAAATGACTCAGTTTGTAACATGTTCTACAACATTTTGGACCCCAAGTTGAAATATGTGAATGACAGTCAGGTCAGGACAGTCTTTTTAGTCATGAGTGTGGCTTCTCCCGTTTATCTGCACATCACAGCAGCTGCACCATAACAGGCAAAGCCAAATAAACTCCCAATTTTTTCAGAGACAGACTTCATAAGAAGAATGTCTAACTCCAGGATGCTGCAAACAGCAGCCTGTGGGTAACCTGTACCAAGTTAAAAGAAGGAGAAGCTACACAACTCACAACTTTCAGAATTGTGATATAGATGATAAGATGTGGTTTACACTCAGTAGGAATATTCTGAGGATTTTGTGTGAGTCTTCTGATGTTCTAATTTTTATATAGCTAATTGTAGTTTTGACGCAGAAACAGCAGTGCTTGGTGGCTTTATGAAAAGCTGAAACAAAAGAGGATCCTGTTCATCCTGTCACATTTTCACTGTCGACTGGTTCAAGATGCAGTACTAAATATCAGATGGGGTGATGATTCCCCACTGGGAATAAAAAATAATTTAGCAGAGACAGAGACAAGTAGAAGGGAGGTGAAGTTCCCTCCATTCCCCAATCTCCAATGGCAAACTGCTCCCTGGTTTACACCCATATCAACATTATTGCTAGAGGAGCACACACTGTTTTAGAAAATATGGAAATGGTTGTTTTTGTCCCTGAGTTTGTAAATCATCATCCTTCATTTATATTTCTAAAACTTTGAGACTCAGCGTCACACTTACAGCTGAGAATAAAATCCCCAAATCCATGTTTTTCTGAATAAAATCCAATAATTCTTCTAGAGTCTTGATGCTTTATCCATTTGCTACAGATGGTAATTTTCTCATTGTTCATACCTCAGGAGTAGGATGAAGACCCCTGTTTTCAGATCTGTACAGAGTTGTAACCTCTCGGAAAAGAGCCAGCAGGAGAAACACTGTCCGATTCTTTGGTGATGCTGTGCATCTCTAATGTATAAAAAATAATAATAATGACAAGTATAAGTGTAAAATAAAAATAAAAATAAAAATGAGCATATAGAGTAAAGTACTAGTACAATTGTGAGTACTACAAAAGTACTACAAAGTATCTCAGGTCTTACAATGTAACTAGCAGTGCTGTACAAGTAATGAGAAATGTTTAAATGTTTAAATTATTATTATTATTATTAAAGGAACTTAGCACACAGATTGTGGTTTCATCAAAACAATATAATAGTAACAGGTAAGTGAAACACATGAAAGAGAATGTTTGGCGCATATTTATACCTCACAGGCATCTTCTATCTGCTCGACATCACCGTCCACTACTGCCTTGGCAACTGCTTCTCGCACGGACTTGTACTCCTCTCCATACACGAGATACTGGTCCATCAGGCCTCCATCTTCATTCTTTTGACATCAAAATTGCAACCAGAAAAGGAAGCATGTTTAAGTACATATATTACACCCGAGATGTTCTGGTATGACGGGCCTTTCGGGACATTATTACTGAAAGCCTCTTACACACACATTACAGAAATTTTATCTTTGACACACACGATTGCAAAGCCACACCACTGACACCCTCACGCACTGCACTAAAATGCTTGCTCACACTTCTTAAAACAAAAAAAATTTCAGTTGAACAGGAAGCCTTCATGTTGTGGTCTGGCCACTCTAGACAGACCATAACACAGTAAAATCTGACTTTATAAGCTACGATTTTGCAGCCATCACTCTGTGTCTTCACTCCCCAGGAGGCTGTGATCTTCCCTGTTTATCTTAGTTCGTTATATCTCAGGCTCTTCTTTTTTGTCTTCTTTTCCTTCAGCCCAACTTCTTCCAATGAAATGGCTGGCCTGAGTGGAGGGGGCGTTTTTTCTATTAAAAGGGAGTCATTCCTCCCTACTTGTTCTTGTTCATCAACTAGTCTGGGCTTCTGTCATTGTAGAGTTACATTGTAGAGTCTCCTTACCCAATACAGTGCCTAACTATTGATATTATCTCACACGTTATAGATAAAACTGTCTGAATTAATTTAACTATACTCCAGTTTTTGGCAGTAGCTTTACCTGCTGATGTATCTCTTCAGGGAAAATCCAGAAGAACTCAGGTTTTTTCATCATTGTCTGGACGTACTCCACACCCTGTGATTCGCTGAGCTTGCGGATGAGGTAAACACGATACCAGTCATTTCCACTGTCCTCACAGAGCTTTATCACCATGTTCAGAAAATCTTCTGCTCCGTCTGGGACATTGTTGCCTGCAACAATGACAAACATTGTTTTAGCTGCAAACCACTGCAAACTGTAGTAGTGCAATACAATAGTAAACGTATAGCTTACCAGACAGTCTGTCACTGATGAGCTGTGCAGCCATGGTGAGCGTCACACGCAATCGGGCAATATGTTGCAGGTGTTGAATACAGACTGTTGCTGGAGCAGAAGTGTCTTCTTTCAAAAACAAGCGCAGGAACTGTGTTTCATTAGTAAACCATTGTAACTCTGCAGCTTTGTTGCCCTCCAGTGGCATTTTCTCCCAGATGGAGTCCTGCAAATATCACCAGTTAATTGTCACTTCATCTGACCTCTATCAATTTGAGGTAAGGCTGTCATTTAGACCATACCCCATTCAGAAGTTGTCTATTTGACAAATAACAATCAATCAATCATTCAATCAATCAAATAAACAAAACAAACAAAACAACAAAAGAGTAGCAAACAGCATTTCAGATGTGTTAATGCTTGTAGGTCTTGGACCCAGTGTTTTTGAGTTTATGAACTTTGAATTTTTGTTTAGACAAAGGTTTTGTTTTCTGTTTGACTTTTACTTTGCTTGGTGTTTATATTTGCTTTTTCGTGTAATTTTTTGGCATTCCTTAGAGATCATAGTTTCCTGTTTGGATTAGACTTTAGTTTCATCCTAAATGTTTCTTATATTACCCTCCTGTATCAGTTTCCCTGCATTAAGTTCATTTATGTGTCTCTGTTTACCCATTTAGTTATCACTTCTAACTTCCTGTTTTGTTTTGGTAGTTATTTGTCTCTACTGTCTTGCATTTATTTTGACCTTCCCTCCTTTCTCGTTGTCTTTGTGTGTTGTTAGCTGCGTTCATTCCTCCCAGTTGCCCTCTTGTGTATAAATACAAATAAATAGTGTGTAATTCTTATCCTATCTCACGTTCTTCCACCCACGTGTGTTGTATGTTAGATTCTGTTTGTCTTGCTCTGGTGGTAAATTCAGTAAATTCCAGCAGTAAATTCTTATTCTTAGTCCTTTTCTACTCTCCCAGAGGACTCAAAGTGCTTTATACAGTGGCTTGCAAAAGTATTCGGCCCCCTTGAACTTTTCCACATTTTGTCACATTACAGCCACAAACATGAATCAATTTTATTGATTCATGTTCTCACGTGTACACCACTTTGTATTGGTCTTTCACGTGGAATTCCAATAAAATTGATTCATGTTTGTGGCTGTAATGTGACAAAATGTGGGAAAGTTCAAGGGGGCCGAATAGTTTTGCAAGCCACTGTACATCATCCCTCTTTTACCCATTCACATCCATTTTCTTTTATGCTTAGGTCTTTTCTATCTACCAATCACACGCATTCATACTCTGGTGGATGCATCGGCGAGCAACTTGGGGTCAGTATCTTGCCCAAGGATATTTGGCATGCAGACTGGAGCAGCCAGGGATCGAACCACCAACCTCCCGTTCAGTAGATCACATTAGATTTTGTTATTTACATTGTACAGCATGGCTGGGCAGAACATTTGGGGAATGGTTAGCACTGCTGCTTCAGAGCAAGAAGATCCTGAGTTTAAATCCACCATGTGTCTGTGTGGGCTCTCTATGGGTACTCTGACTTCTTCCCACAGTCCAAAGGCATGCAGTTATTGGGGTTAAGTTAATTGGTTATTGCCCCTAAGTATGAATGATTGTCTGTCTCTATCTGTTAGCCCAGTGATAGGCTGGTGGCCTGTCCAAGCCTTCCCTTAACCTATGGTAGCTGGGATAGGCGCCAGCTCCCCTCCAGACCCTGAATGGGAAAGAATGAATGGATGGACACTGTGGACTTTAATCTTTCCTTTTGCTGAAATAAAGGTTAGGTTTCTGTTTTCTGAGAGGCATCTCTGTACTTCACAATTCATCATAGCATGTCCTTCTAGAGAAATACTTTTTGTTTGTGGAGTACTGTATACTGTCAAAGTAAGTAATTTTCTTTTTGAAACCTTTTCTGTTCACCTTTTTAAAGTACATTTTAACAGTTAAATACAATTAAGACAACATTTTTCTAGTTTTACCTCCAAGCAGTTGATGTATAAAGCATAGAGCTCGGCTTTGTCTCCATCATCCACAAATCTGCTTTCTTCAACAGATGAAAAATGTTGCTGCAAATATTTCTGAACCTCATCAAAGCTGAAACAGAGTTAGGTCAATCATATAGTGTAAGGTAAAGAAACTTAAATCTATTCACAGATTTTATCACAAGTTTTATTAAAGTAGCAATGCTGGTCAACTGATATAAAAGATACACTTTAAATCAGTGAGATACCTGTCATGTTAGTCTCAATCATCTTTGATGATTGACATATTTATAGTAGGTTACCTACCTGAACTTCAGTAGCAGTTTGAGGATTACTGATCGCACAACTGGGTTTTTATCTGGGGACTCTTCAAATGGTGATAAAACTTTGGTGTGAATCTGTTTATGTTCTGTTTGGAAAAAAATATTTAAAGTAAACATGTAAAACAATAATAATAATTTATTCCAACACATTCGATTTTTGTTTTTGTTTTGAAACTTTAGGTCAAGACTTCAGCTTCTTTAGAAAAGAAGGTGAAACAGAATCTTCTTAATAGTGTAGGCTACAGTAAGTAGTACCTGTCTCAATCATTAGATAGGACAACAGGTGGGTGATGACACCTTCGGCTGGAGGTGTATTATCCTTGAAGCACACAGCAGAGAGCAGATCAACAAAGAAACCATTGCAGCATTGCCTGAATTCTGCATTTTTCTTCACAGATGCGCTGCAGGGTTACAAAAAGTAAGGCAATGTTAATACGTTTAAAAGCAGCGTTAATTTGTTCTTATTAGATGATTCCCAAATGTTAAACTTTGCAAACCGATTCCCCAAAAATGATCAATGGTCAATATACCATGACATTTTTCTAATACTGTCTTTTATAATAATAATAATAATAATAATAATAATAATAATAATAATAATGGATTGCATTTATATAGCGCTTTTTGGGTCCCTCAAAGTGCTGTACAATTCCACTATTCATTCACTCTCACATTCACACACTGGTGGAGGCAGCTACAGTTGTAGCCACAGCTGCCCTGGGGCAGGCTGACAGAGGCGAGGCTGCCATATCGCGCCATCGGCCCCTGTGGCCATCACCAGTAGGCAGTAGGTGAAGTGTCTTGCCCAAAGACACAACGACCGAGACTGTAGTATAATTTCCTAGCATGTGTTCATGCTCATGCACACACACACATAGTCTTTCATATCTTAGTGAGGACATTGAACTGGCATAATGCTTTCACAATGCTAGCCCATTACTCTAACCCTAACCGTCAGAAATGAATGCCTAACCCCAACCCTAGAGTTGAGGGATTCATCAGAGGTGGGAATGCTAAAACAATAGTTGTTTGCTGGACAAACATCTGGAGAACTGGTTTATGGTGGAAAGAAGCTCTAAAAATATGGTCTGCAGCTTCAAGAAAGTATAGGAAAGGGTATAGTGTCTCTGAGTTATATCAATCACTATCATATAGTCAATGGAGGATATAGATAAATGGAGGCTTTATAGGGTGAAAGCCAAATCGTAGAATGACTCTTGACAAGGTGGAAGGGACTAAATGCCTAAACTGTTTTTTGATTAAACCAACATTGCAACACCCTGCCCAGTCCCACTATTGATACAGCATATCTCTGCAGTTTTCCAAGCCCTAACCTTGAGCATATTTTGACCATTTGCAGCAGCAAGTTCCGCCTACCTGTGTAACGTGTGTAACATGTGTAACATGTGTAACATGTGTAATCTATAACAGTAGTTTTCTGTTAAGGTTAAGATGTTGGTTGTCCCCCTCTCCCCCCAAAAAGCAAATCAACATTCAAACCAGGGGGCAATGGGAAAAATGAGCCAATCTTGTTGCACTGACACGTGTACACAGAAGTAGGTTTCACATGTGTGGTGGTATGCATTGTAGTAAACATCTAGGTAATTAAGTTGTTTTTTGTTTTGCAAATTAGCATGCAATTTCTGCACTTTATCACTAATGAGATAAACCTAGAGTTGATCATTGCAGGTTTGATCACTGACCAAATGGCACTCAGTCATTACTAAAACCATAAGGTTGTGTTACTTTTTAAACTTAACTCCAGGAAAGCTGTAATAAATACTGATAATATGAAGCAGCCATTCACTTTTGAATGGGAACAGCTGAATCCCACAAGCCATACTACTCTATTCTGAGATCATGAGAAGACCATGTTTTCCATGTAAATGTTTACAGTTGCACTGTTAAATATTTTATCAGCTAAACAGTTAAACAAATCTTACCTTATGTCTTCAGAAACATGTGGTTGGAAATCATCTGGTAATTGTTGGCGGCACTTTGGACAGGATGTCCGTCCTGCATCAAGGCTGTTCTTAATACATGTTAAGCAATAGATGTGATTGCATGGCAGTCCCACTGTTTCCTGAGGCTCTCTCATGCACACCCCACACTCAAGGCCAAACCTTCAGGAAAATGCAACCAACAATCACATTAGCTTAAGTGCAAATAAAGAAAAAGGCTGCAGGAAGTGGAGGTTCTGGGGGTACTGCAGCACCCCTGTTGTAAAGTTTAGTACACCCAACTTTAAGGTCTTTCCAATGGCTTTGCTAAAGAACATCCTTCAATATTTCATATAATATCATAATAAACTCTGCTAATAGTCAGACAGCATTACCTGAAAAGCTGATTAGTTGCCTCCTGTTTGCAGGACTTCAGGACTTTAACTACAGCTTCAAAACCTTTTGTAGATTTTACATCCGAGTTTTCCTGCAGAACCTTAGAAGGACAAAATGATACACAATACTAATGATGAACATTATGTTGTTACAAATTTTTTTGTTAGCAGAACATCATTTAAAACAAGATACAGTGGGATGCAAAAGTTTTGGCAACCTTGTTAATAGTCATTATTTTCCTCTATAAATCGTTGGTTGTTACAATAAAATGTAAGTTAAATATATCATATAGGAGACACACACAGTGATATTTGAGAAGAGAAATGAAGTTTATTGGATTTACAGAAAGTGTGAAATAATTGTTTAAACAAAATCAGGCAGGTGTGTAAATTTGGGCACTGTTGTCATTTTATTGATTCCAAAACCTTTAGAACTAATTATTGGAACTCAAATTGGCTTGGTAAGCTCAGTGACCCCTGACCTACATACACAGGTGAATCCAATAATGAGAAACAGTATTTAAGGGGGTCAATTGCAAGTTTCCCTCCTCTTTTAATTTTCTCTGAAGAGAAACAGAAGCGACGAATGGTGAGAACAGTCAGAGTCAACCCACAGACCAGCACCAAAGACCTACAACATCATCTTGCACCAGATGGAGTCACTGTCACCCAGCACATTTGGACAAGCCAGCTTCATTCTGGAATAAGATGCTGTGGACTGATGAAACTAAAATCGTGTTATTTGGGCATAACAAGGGGCGTTATGCATGGAGGAAAAAGAACACAGCATTCCAAGAAAAACACCGACTACCTACAGTAAAATATGGTGGTGGTTCCATCATGCTGTGGGGCTGTGTGGCCAGTGCAGGGACTGGGAATCTTGTCAAAGTTGAGGGACACATCTCAGTCCCCAGACCTGAATATTATTGAAAATCTGTGGTGTGAGTTAAAGAGAGCTGTCCATGCTCGGAAGCCAACAAACCTGAATGAACTAGAGATGTTTTGTAAAGAGGAATGGCCCAAAATACCTTCAACCACAATCTAGACTCTCATTGGAACCTACAGGAAGCGTTTAGAGGCTGTAATTTCTGCAAAAGGTGGATCTACTAAATATTGATTTCTTTTTTTTGTGGTGCCCAAATTTATGCACCTGCCTGATTTTGTTTACACAATTATTGCACACTTTCTGTAAATCCAATAAACTTCATTTATTGGATTTACATTTTTTATTGTAACAACCAATGAATACAGGAAAATAAACGTTTGCATCCCACTGTAATTTTGACAGATTTTGTCAGAACAAAATTCTGCACAGCATGGACAGGTGACAGAAAAAAGACGGCCTCCATCTTTGTAGACCACATTGATTATGTTGAGCTTGGTCAGCTTTAATTTTTAAATTAAACCTAAAGCAAACCAGATTTGACCTGAATAAACTCACCAGCCATTTCATTAGATACAACAGTTTAACTGCTTGTTTTAAAGCAAAGCAAAACAACATACAATAAAACAAAAAACCCACTTACATTGCTAAGAGTTTTAATGGTGTTTAGGACATGTGTCCTGAGCTGACGGTCTTCATTTTGGAAACCCAGTAGCATGTGTTCAACAAAAAAAGAAAGGATGTGGATGCGCTTCCAGCCATTACTGCAAAAATATTACATACACAATCACAGTTAGTAATAATAATAAAAAAAATAAAATTACTTCAATATCATTGTTAAAGCAACACTATATCCTCAGCCTAGTCTGTGCAATGACAAGACAAGCCCAAGGAATGACGCAGAGATGCATGTCAGCCTCCATTGCAAATTTTGTAAAATAAAATTAGCTTTAACAACCACCAGAAAAACACAAAAAACTTTGTGATAGCAGATAGCAGTAGCTGGTGATGTGCAACCCAAATGTAAACAAATGACTCAACCAAACACTGATAGCTACACTTGCTACTTCCATTCTATAGGACAGGAAGAGCAAACATTGGAGGGAAATTACTAATGCAGTGACACAGTGGAAAAGCAGCATCTGGTTAAAAAGCTTAATGCAAGAGACATCCATTGATTGATAGGTGAAAGTACAGTGGAGCTCAGAGTTACAAGATTAACTCTCAGTTAATTTGTTGTTATTCCTTGACTTAAAAGGAAAATCACTACCTACGTTACTTATGTGCTTACATTTGACCTATGCTGTGTTATTGTATATACTGTGTCACTACTATTACGCTATAATGCTGCTGCGGGCACCCTGTAGCAATAAATTCCCATTTCAAATTACAGTTAGGTCCATGTATATTTGGACACTGACACAAGTTTTGTTCTTTAACTGTTTTATTAAAATATGTTCCAATTATAGTGAAATAATGGACACCTGTTGGTGCTACCTTCAGTCATTATGCAAATGTACTGTTTATAAGGTTGGAGAAACCCAACCAGTCAGCTGAGACTGAAGAAGTCACTTGGATGAGTGACGAAACGTTTCTCGCACTGAAAACATTACATCCAGATGAACAGAATCAACCTTTTGGGAGCTGTAGATAATGTTACATAAAATGATTATTGAGTATTTTTTTTATCCAATGGTTAAAATTTGATTTTGTGAAGAAATTCATGGAATGGTTGGCTCAACACAGCTTGGGCTGCACAGTCAGCCTGGCTACAGTGCTGAAGAGAAACCAAGGGTTGTTGTTATTTTCTTTAATCAGTGATGAAGCTTTACGGAGGAATTTTTTTTTTTTTTTTTTTATAAAGCAGCAAACTATTTCCCCAGGCTAAATGATGATCTTCTAAATTTGTGATATGCTAGTTCTTCTCCAGCTTATGAGTTATCTGCTTTAAGCTACTTGTTTGAGAATTAAACCAGGGATTGAAATACTTCTGATTTGGGGCTCTATTTTTCACAGGAGCTACAGTATCCAGAGTCATATGTAGTGAGGAGGCAAAATTAACAAGTCATCCTCTGTTAGAGTAGTGTTCAGGTAGCTGCTCTGCTCTGTGTTGGTACAGAGCATTGCAAATGATAACAGTGAGTGGATTATATTCTTAAACTTAGTTACAACACTTTTAGAAAGACATCTACTGTGATGAAGTCTACTCCCCACTGCTGTGTTCACTTACTGTAAATTTAAATGTTATCAGGAAATGATCAGACAAGAGAATATTTTCAGGAAACACTGTTAAATGTTCAGTTGCAAGCAAACAGCAACTGAAAGCCACTGCCATAAAGGCCTGACAGAGCATTAAAAAAGAGGAAACCCAGCATCAAGTGATGTCCATGAGTTTGAGACTTCAGGCTGTCATTGCCAGCAAAGGATTTTCAACCAAATTTTAGGAATTAACATTTTATTTTCAGTTATTTAATTTGTCCAATCATTGCAGCTCAATTTGTCCAATTTTAGCTCTGTGAAATGAAAGGATTGAAAGGACTACTACTCAGGGGCAAAACCCTGTCAAATCCAGCTTGATGCACCTGTTAAAAAAACTGCTTGTATGTCAGTAGTTAGTCATGGCCAACTGGATTGAGAATTCTGATTGGCCCATGAAATTCAGGCTTCCGTTCGATTGGTGGATTTCTCTTCAGCAGACAGGTGGTTCAGATCTGGGCATTTGGAGTCAGTTGATGACTTTTAGAATAATCTTATCTGACTGGATGATTAAAGCATTTACCTGTCTGTAATGGATTCTCCCACATTTCAGTGATTTTGTGATTAAAAGAATATAAACTTTGAATATTAATTCAGATGTTTTGTGATTCTAAATTTTTGTCATTTTTGTCTGGCGCTCACAGACACAAACTACACCCTTTTTGGCTCCTACCTCAAAGCACACTGTGCCCTGTCGATCCTACGTGCTGCACAATAATATTCAACATTTAGTATTTACTGTTACATCCACATAGATCACCGTGATGATGTTGTTTATTATATTGCTCTCTTTTTTTTGCTTGTTTTCTCTTTTTTCTTTCTCAACAGGTGATCCAGGTGATTGATATATGTATTTTTTTGTCTGTTTGTTTCGTTGGTTTTTGTTTTTTGCCCTTTATCCCCGTTCCTCTTCCCCGCTGTTTTTCTTTCCCTCTTTCTTTCTCCCATTTCTTTTCCCCAGTCAAGTCTGTCCCGTGTTTATCAAGTGAAAATAAAATAAAATAAACAATAAAAGCAAAGGTGAATCAAATAGACCAACACTGCAAGGTCCATTTGGTAAAGTAAATCCATTGGGCATCTTTCTTTGCCTTTAGACAATAATTCTGATGGCAAAAGAACCAAACGGGACAGGCAAAAAAAAGAAGAAAAAAAAGAAAGAAAAGGTGGTAAACCTAAGTTGACAGTTTAATGTCATACACCTGATTTTGAAATAAGTGAGCTACGATGTCTTTGATTAAACAGGAATATTCTGCATTACAGCAATCACCACAATATGAGTCACAACAATGGGCGACTACAATGAGAGGTTGTTTCAGTAACACTAAGTAAAACGCTATACAAATACAGGCCATTTTAACACTACAGGGAACTGGGCATCAGAATTTCAATTCACTGCATCAGTATCTTACCTGAAATCATGGAGTACTTTCCGGCAGTGCTCACCATATTTTTTGCTACTGCTTTGGGAGCAAATCAACTCCAAAGAAGCCTGCACCTTCTTCACCTTCCTCAGCCAGTGCTGGCAGACAGTATCATTGTCTAAGTTAGAAGGTTCCAGGCTTTCAACACATGCCTTGGCTGCATAGACATCCAAAACCTACAGGAAAGTAAAGTAGTCTGTAAGTGATAGTTTTGCAATATTTGTAACATGCTGTGTCCTTCTTGTCACAAGAATGTGAACACCAGGAATTAAGAAATGTGCTTACCATCGCCGGATAACCGCTAATTTCTGGATTTTTTTGCAAAGGGGAAATAACTTCAGGATGAAGAGAAATCATCCGTGAGAGGTTCTGAAGACGGTTTTGGTAAAAATGATAGGCAATGTGGATGAGTGGAAGAGAAAGCTCATCATCTTGTTTTCGTTTCCGTACTTCTTTAGCACAGCTAGTCATTGCCTGAGAGAGGAGCTGAGGAGTAAAGGACCAAATAGATTAATAATATATTGATCTATTTGTTATAATAATATATAAGTAACGGAATACATGTAACGGTGTTATGTATTTAAAATACAAAATATGAGTAACTATATTCTGTTGCAGTTACTGTTTAAAAAGGTGGTATTCAGAATACAGTTACTTTGTTGAAATAAATGGATTACACGGCGGCCTTTTCCTGTTTCATATGTTAGGCTGTCCCCTCTCTGTTTTTGGTAATCCCATGCCGGTGGAAACCCAAACAAAACACGCATCAAGAGGCTCTAATTCCTGGGTCTCAATCTCATGACCCATGTCACCTTGCGGCCCGCATAATGACGTGACGAAATATTTTTTTAAATTATTGTTCAAAAAATTATTTAATATAAAGGCAATAGGCAGAGTGCTACAGGCATAGCCCTAAAGAATGTAGCCTCATGGGCAGTGTAGCCCAGTTGTAAGTAAGCTATTAAAAATCTAGTTGGTATTGGTATGGCGACTATCCTTCAGTAATAGTAATAAAACACACAGAAATAGTACATTCATGTAGTTGTAATAAGCTTGATAATATATTAAGTAATCCAAAGAACTCAGACTACGTTACTCTCATTGAGTAACGTTACGGAATACGTTACAAAATACATTTTGGGGAATGTATTCTGTAATCTGTAGTGGAATAAATTTTAATAGTAACCTTCCCAACACTGTAACTTAAATTAGCATTACAGGTAATATAATGGTAAAAATTGAAATTGAATTGAAATTAACACAACTTTTCAGTAAAGTTTATAGAGTTCCAGATAAGTAGCTAGTACTGCTAGCTGTGTATAGTGTCAAAATAAAAATATAATTAATGGAGTAATGCTTTAATCTCTATAATACTGAGTTATTGATTTTTCACTCCAGTTTGTTGACATGAATTATAATATTTCCACAATCAGTCCAACCTACTTACTTTATAGTGTATGGTGATTCGTTTTTAATAAAATTTTATTTTTTAAGTATGAAAATGGGTTTAGCTGATCTACATGGACATGTTGTTTGATTGTAGTGAACTTGACTGTTGGGAGAGTAGAGAAAACTGTGTACGGTTAAATGTTTTTGTTTTGCTGGAGTTCAAGTTCAGTGACAGTAGTGGGATTTACAGCAGACTGAACGTAACATTATTCAAACACAGATAAACAAGCATTTTCCAGCCACGGTGCAACATATCTATACTTAAGAAAATAAACTGTCATATTGCACTAATAGAGATCATTATTATTCACAATTCTTCACATCACTCTCACCTTTAACTCTTCATCTGATGCCACTTTCATGGTCATGGAAACAAAATCTTGCAGATACCTTTTGAAAAATTCTCTCTTCATTTTTTCATTAGCTTTTTCTGAGATGTAAGTGCCAAGTGGAGTTTCCAAGAACAAATCATAGAAATGACCAACTGAATGAGCTGAAAAAATACAAAGTTGGGAGAGTCAGTAATTTTTTAGATTTTAATCTAAAACATTTTTTTAAATTAAAATTAAAGTGCAACTCTTAGAAAGTGAATATCTACATATGTTACTTGTAAAATATATATTTACTTTGATGTCTGGATGTTTGCATCATGAGCCCATCTAGGAACTCTTTGATCCACCAACTGAAGGGCAGGCGGCAGAACATGGTATGGCCACCTGTGACATGGCTTTGTACCATTAATACTCTGGAGAAGTAAGAGAGTCAGAAAAACAAGCAAACGAAAACCATTAGGGATGTTTTTTGAAACAGCTACTGTGATTTACTTTAGTGTAAATACAATTTTCTTGTGCCAGATCATTAAAAAAAATAAGAGTGTCTTGTCTTTCAAGGATACAAATTAGACGTAAATAAAACAATATGCACTGAATACATCGGCCACTTCTTTGGCTTTTCAACTGCTCATTAACTAAAATTTCTAATCAGCCAACGGCAGCAACTCAGTAGACGACCACCATGTATTAGGTGGTACTTGATTGTAATGGAAAACCAGCCGATCTGAGTGGAATCGTGGCGAGTTGATCCAAGTTGGTACTAATGGAAAACAGGCTAAATAGAAGTAACTGCGTGATTATTATGCCGCACCACGCAAAGCGACCTATGTGGAAAGCATACTGGCACCCTAATTCAGAAACCGCTGATCTACTGAGATTATTCCACAGAACCATCTCTATTGTTGCACCTCTAAAGCCACAACACATCAAACCCTGAAGTATATTGAAAAACTGGAAAAATAAAAAAAACTGGAAAAACCGTGCCTGGTCTAATGGTTCTTGATTTCTGCTGCTTTCAGATGGTAGCTCACAATTTGGCATTATGGAGCCATCTTGCCTTGTATTAATTGTTCCAGCTGCTGGTGGCAGTGTGAGGAGTATATAATATTATAAATATATAAATAAAAATATTATATTTTTGGTATAATTTGGGCCCCTTCGCACAAATTAAGAATGGTTTAAACAGCCACAGACATAGTGACGGTCATGACTATATCCATCCCATGGGCACATCTTATGGGTAAAGTGTGCTTCTCTAGGAATGAAGTGCCAAGCCACAAAGCTCAGATCTTTAACTGGTTTCTTGAACATGACAGTGTTCTTCATGACACTGTCTTCAAATGGCCTCCACAGTCACCAGATCTCAAACCACTAGAGCACCTTTGGGATGTTGTGGAATGGGAGATTTGCATCATGAACAAGCAATCAAACAGCAACTGTGCAATGCTATCATGTCGGACCAAAATCTAATTGATGTTTCTAACACCTTATTGAATCTTTGCCATGAAGAATTAAGACAGTCTTAAAAGCAACAGAGGCACTGGCCGAGAATGAGCAAAATGCACCCACGAGTTGGCCAGTAACTGTAGATGCCTACATTGTCTAACCAAGAGATACCTACTTCTTTTCCACCCTGACGTAAGGCAAACTGAGCATCTCTTTGTTTCCAAAAATCTCAAGCCACAAGTTCACAATTTGTTCTTCATCTTCCAGGAGAAGGTCCATATTGCAATCTCGGTCAATGACTGAGACCAGGTAGGCTAGAAGTGGAGTGACAACTGCTTGGATTTTCCTCCACAGTGTGTGCCTGAAAGAAATAATCATACAACATTCTTAAAATTGAACATAAATTTGCTGGTATCTACTCAAAGTTACAGCTGAGGCAAGTCTGTCAAATGAAACCAAATCTGTTTGCATTTCTTTATGTTTGACGCAACAAACCTATCATTCAATAAATTGTGAATAAATGTCAGAAATAACTGCATTTAAATGTACCAAAAAAGTCAAATGCAGACCATCAGAGTGTACAGCAAATATTAGAGGAACTTACAGGAACGTCCCTCCTTCTTGAAGAGCACTGTCATTAGATGCCTCATTTAGGACCCAGCTTTTTAGAATGGGCATGTTGACCTCATTGTCCTTTAACAGTGAGTGAAGTCGCTTCCTCACAATTTTTGCAAACAATCCTTGGAAACAAAATTAATTTCACATCACATTGTTGTATTTTGAATGCAGTTTCAGTATAGTGGTGCCCAGCACAGGACTGATGTTAAAAGATAATCTTTACTGACTTATTTTCTAACCTTGAGTATTGTTTCCATCCAGAAGAGTGAGCAGATTCTCAACTCTCTTAGTGCTGAATTCACCACTGTTTGCGTCATCTCTCAGCATGCTCACTGCACTCTGAACACAACTTCTCACCAAATTTGTAGTATCAAACAAACATTCCAATGCCTGAAAATAATAATTAATAGCACCAGCACACATACACACTAGTTATTCACAACACTAAAACCACTGCAGACAACAAAGGTAAAAGAAAGAAACTGTGGACAAATGTTAAAAGTATTCATTCAGCAGGTAATTGGATTGCACTTTGGTGGAAATACGGACACTATTCTTTAAGGTAAATAACACTTAAATGGCACTGTAAATAATGTGGTAAATAACACTTACAGTGGAGTCATATTTCTGTTGCACACCAGTGGAGTCTTCTTTCTCTACGGCTTTGAAAGAGAGAGAATTTTGCATGTTTTTTTCCATAATATACAAAATATAATGTAGAAAAAGGATTTAATTAATTACCCTCAGATGGATCTTTAAAAAGATCACTTATACGTTTATTTTTCAAGGAAAGAGCATCTGAAAGAAACTCTTTTGATCTTCTGATATCATCAATGTGAACAGACCTCCAAGGACCTGAAAAAGTCACATTAAGAAAGACATGTGAGTTTCAGCTGATATTTAAAGTACATTCTCTTTGTTGATGTTTCACTTATGGTGTTACATAACAACATGCAGTGTTTTATATATATATATATATATATATATATATAAAATAATCTCATGACTATTAGTGTTTTTGTGCTATTAAAACATGTTGTTATGTTTGCAGATGAACGGTAAACCCTCACCCCACTCCCTACCGGACTCCAAGCAGAACTTGTGCAGCATAGTTTTGAGGGTTTGATGAAATCTTTCCCTGACTCTCCGGCAGTGTTGGTCAAGTTACTTGAAAAAAGTAATCAGTAACTTATTGTGTCAGTAACAATTACTGATTACTTCCCCAAAAAAGTAATCCCGTTACTTTACTGATTACTTATTTTCAAAAGTAATTAATTACTTAGTTACTT